TCTCAACATAGGTATGGGGTAGATTGTACTCCGGCGGCAGCTTGCGGTCGTTATTGATCAGGTGGTCTAGGATGGAGGGACTGAGAATGGGCTACAGAAAGGAGAAGGAACATAATTGAGAGATTGTTAGCTGTCATTCCGTAGCCAAAGCAACCCAAGTCCTGCCCTCAGTGAAAACTAATCCTCCCTCTTGAGCAGGGGTAAGCAACCTTGGCTCTTTTATGACTGGAGGACAGGGGTCCTGAACACACTTTGTACTAATTGATATTGTTTGTGTGACAAACTCTTGGAAGCAGCATTTATAATGAACAAATAAAGAAAGTGCCAGGTTGGTCTCGTAGTAAAGGCACTAGGCCAGGGGTAGGCAACCTTGGCTCTTTTATGACTCGTGGACTTCAACTCCCAGAATTCCTGAGCCAGCCATGCTGAGGAGAAAGAGAGAGGTTCCAAGCTGAGCCATGCTGGCTCAGGCATTCTGGGAGTTGAAGTCCACGAGTCAGAAAGCGGCCTAGGCCTAGGCCAGAGGTAGGCAACCTTGGCTCTTTTATGACTCGTGGACTTCAACTCCCAGAATTCCTGAGCCAACATGGCTCAGCATGGAAACCTCTCCCTTTCCCCTCAGCATGGCTGGCTCAGGAATTCTGGGAGTTGAAGTCCACGAGTCATAAAAGAGCCAAGATTGCCTACCCCTGGACTAGGCTAAAAAGCCAAGAGATTGTGATTTGTGAGTGAAAGCAAACCACAGAAAAGTCACAAAATCGCCGACCTGAGTATCCAGGAAGATGATTCGCTCCTGAGTAATAAAGAAATCAATGCCGCTGGTCTGGTTGCCCCCACGCTCCTTGATTTCCTGGCTCTGAGTCCGAAACACGTATGTCCTACAAAAGGGGAAAAAGCATTCATAGAAAAATGAACAATGACTGGAAATCTACGGGTTAAACTTCAGGGAACACATTGACTAGCTGAACTGGTCTGATGGCACAGCACCTTCAAACATTCAAATATTTGAGGAAGAAACTGGCAGGGTCTAGAGCAGAGTTGTCAACCTTTCTGGCTTTAAGACCAGGGGGGAGAGGGGACTGGTTCCATGTGAGCGGCGGGCAAGCACATGCGCAGCTCCATTTAGCGCAAGCAGTGGACACACACGTCCACTGCTTGCGCAAGTGAGAATGTGCACACGCACACATGTTCACCTGCCACTTCTGTAGGCCGGTTCCAAATGGCTGAAGGAGTGGTAGTGGGCCACGGCCTAGGGGCTAGGGATCCCTGGTCTAGAGTTTAGCTTTTCTGAGAAAGAAAAGAAGCAGCTGCGGCAGCTGAAAATGATAACTTATATATTTAAAACAAGAATATTCAAACAGCAAGGAAGCTGAATGAAAATTTCTGAACTAGTAATGGACACTTGGCCCAGTATGCCAACAATCTGGAACATCACAGGGACAGAATTACAGGTTTATCAAGTAACAGCAAAGGCAGAAAAAGAAAGGCAGTGTGTCTCCCAGACTTATAAACTTTGACCACCAGTATGTATTCACTGTATGTGCATGAATTAGATCTCTATCAATGCAATGGAAAGACAGATCAATGTTATCTCATGAGGTCAAATCTTAACCATGTTTAATTAAATTAAGTTGAAATTGTTTCCTGTAAGTATGTTCTATGTTTTTGTTGGTCGCTTTGTTTTCTGCTTTTTTTTTTTTTTTTGCTACGCTAAAGCAATTAAAAAACCCCTTCCAAACGTAATGCCCATTAGTAAATTAAGAAGAACTCCATAACAATCCTCCTTATTCGGTTCATTTTCAAAGCTTACTGCAATCCTTTTTGGATCAATCCGGTATCCAATGGCAAGGCATTTCCTCTTCCTAAAGCCCACCCACCTCTGATCTTCTTCAGGTTGATTGGCTGATAGCAGTGACATCACCATGGACTTCCCAGTACCTTGCAGTCCTAATACCCCAACTACAAGCACATCTGTTTGGTCCAGGAGATACTAATATAAGAGAGAGAGAAAGAGGAAAAGGGAACAATTGTAAGCATTAACATCTCATAAAGGAATGATGGCGATTTAATATCTATTATCTTCCTTCTAAAACAAAACATAATCCTCTTGTATTGGCTAGCAATGGTGGAGCTTATCCATCTATTCTTTATTGGTTTGCACTCTTTTTAATCTTGTTCTTCATTTTTTTTCCAAATTGCATTTCAGCCAAAAATAAGATACATACGTACATACGATTCTAACCCACTTAGAAAAATGGGTTGGGAAAGAATACAAAGTTAATAAAAACTAAACCCCCTCCATATAGCTCAATAGAAAGTAGAGGCGAAAAAGTTATTTGGAAACTATAAAGATCAATTAAAAGAAAGAAGCAAATGAAAAAAGACAGGCAGCAGGTTTGGAAAGCAAGAGGTTCAGAGCAATGCAGGGTCTCCAAGAAACTTGCCAGAATGGGAGAATCAGAATACAAAAAAAAGTAAGCAAGCAGGAAAAGCTTCTAGATCAGTGGTGGCGAACCTATGGCACGGGTGCCAGAAGCGGCACTCAGAGCTCTCTCTGTGGGCACTCGCGCTGTCGCCCCAGTCCTAGGCCTTCAGCTGGGTTTTATAAAACCTTTTCGCTTTAGGCCTCCACCGCCGTGTGCAAAAAAAAAAAAAGGTTCAATCAATCAATCAATTTTAACTTCTTGCGGGGAAAAAAAAGATCTTGCAAAGTTGGAATTGATTGATTGAACTTTTTAGTCCCACCCAGTCTGCCGTTACCACTGCAGCCACGCCCACCTAATGGGCCACATCCAGCCAATGGGCCACACCCACCCGGCACCCGACAATGCATAAGTGGGTTTTGGGTTGCAGTTTGGGCACTCGGTCTCTAAAAGGTTCGCCATCGCTGTTCTAGACAGTCCAAATACCTCAATAGCGCTATCACACCAGTTCATCTGGTCATCCACCAGCTTGATGCTATGTTTCATCTTCTCCGGGGCTAACAACTTTGCCTGGCCAACCACAGCTGAAAAAAATCAGCGAGTGACACCTTAATCCACAAGCTCCCCATACAGACAATATATGCCAATATTACACCTCCCATTGACTCCCCTGTTGAATAATTAAGTCAAGATCGAGGGCCAGCAGTTCATTTTAGGAGGCAGGTCTAACCATTCCAAGCCACACCATGCCTGCCCTTGAGTTGCCAAGAGAGATGCTCCTTATCGGCTGCCAGAGATAACAATGCTTTCATCCAAAGAAGTGGCCTTTTGGTCCAGACTTACGGTCCATAACGCCGCTGGATGCAGCCGAGCCCATACCCCGATTCTGGATCTGATAGACTGGCTGGGTGGGACGCTGGCCTTCCTTCTCCACCTTGGCCACAGCTGCTGGGGGCTGAGTAGACACCTCCGTGGTTCCGGCAGGGCCTTTGCCTTCCTCCCGGGACTTCATCAGCACAATGGGCTTTTCCATAGGAGGAGTAGCAGCAGGAGCTGGGCCAGGAGCGGAGGCTGGAGCCACCTTGGACTGTGAAGACAAGCAAGCCAAGATCCAAAATCCCTTTCAGATGTGTAGATATGGCCACAACTGAGTCCAAAATTTCTGCTGCTAAATGAAACATTTGCTAAGTTAAATTTTGCAATCAGGTGTGATCATGCAATGACCCACTTAAGAACCATCACAACTTACAACCGAAATCTGGGCTCAGTTGACAGTCATCAGTCGAGAACTACCTATAGGCGATTTAAAAAAACATGTTGGAGGTAACAAGAAAAATTAATAGGTGGTCTGGAACCCAAATTTCTATTACACCCATTGAGGCGTAAAAAGTTAAATCTATTTTTCCCTAATGCCTGAGACAAGAATTAGCAGCTAAATGGGGTTGTATGGTTATGCTTGAATGAAGAGACCTTCCCTGGTGAATTCTGGGTTCCAAATGATATATCAGGTATTTTTATAAAACCTAAAAGTGGTGGATCATGTTCTCCTACCTACCCTTTCTGCAGGAGGTTTGGCCAGAATGATGGGTGTCTTCTGCATCATTGTCCCCACTGGTTCATCCATTGGTTCCTACAATGAAATCGGGGTCAGACTTAAGGTGGATCCCTGCCCTTATGGCCATGTCAGCCAAAGTGTAGACTTTTACCCGCCGGTCTCTGTCCCGGTCCCGGTCCCAGGGGACATAGTCACGCTCTCGCCCTGGTCCAGACAGGCTTTGGTGACCCAGTTCCTTCTCCCGATTCCAGCGACGGCGTCGTTCATACAATCCAGGCTGACTGTGGCCCGACTCCGACATGTGGAAATGGGATCTGGGAAGAGAACAAGAGTCCCATCTACCTTTGGAATGATCACATGAGTGAAGAATTACATTATCTACCTCAGAAGGAAAAGGCATGACATTTAGGATGGAGTAGTGGAAAAGCATCACCTGAAAATATCAGGTTTCGAATATGAGGATCAAAGGAAAAACTTAATCTTGGAAGCAGTGTGTTTATAGGACTGGGGATGTGGGCTAAAAGCTACACACCTCTGCCACTATTCACTAAGGGAGGAATTGCTTAAGCTCTCAAAGCAACTTGGTTAGTCCTTATTTAGCGACTGCCTCGTTTAGCAACCATTCTCAGTTGATGTTTTGGGTGGTTTTAGGGATGGATGGGAGTGTGCTTGGGGATTATGCGTGTGGGACCTGGTCTTTGGGTGTCACGTAAATTTCGTTGTATGTGTACACTGTGTATACACATACAATGACAATAAAGTTTATTATTATTATGTCTGTGATGAAAAAGCAACTTTGTGGCCAATACTCATATTTACGAACTTTGCAGAAAAACAAAGGAAAACAAAAATCGGAAGCAGTCACTGCTTAATAGTGATTGCTTAATAACCAGGTTTCCAGGCTCAATTATGTCGCTAAACATGGACTACCTTTACATGATATTTATTTATGTGAAGGTCAGCCTCTTTCCTAGACTCGTGTCCTCCCCTTGGGGGAGACTGAGTGAGCTTAGTTGTACGTTCTAGATTTTTTTATTTTGATGTTTTATTTTTCCTATTATATTGTATGTTTGACCCATTAAGGCACGGAGGAAGAAATACCATCTCTAAGGCAATTTATCATTCTGAACTAAAATAATATGCTGCAGGGAGAGTGAGAGATAACATACAATCTCCCCTACATTTTTGTTATTATAGGTTATTTTTACTGTTTTTGCCGTTTGGGTTCTTGGATTATGTTGCTTAGCTTTGTGTTTTAATTGTGTATGCTGTCCAATCTCACATACATGAGGTGGACAGCTATATAAATTCAAAAACTAAGTAAACAAATACAAGACTAGGAATCAGAGAAAAAGCAAGCACTAAGGAACCTATTGGCTAAAAGTGACCTAAATAAGGCAGAACAATGTTGGGGAAGCAGAATGCAAGCAACTAATACCACTGAGCGTGTGCAAAGTGCTACAGTTCTGATGAACCATCACCAAGTTTGGGATTAAAAAACACAATTTCTAGGGAGAGATGGGCCTATAATAATTGGCGGAGAGATACACGTCCTGTGGTCAGATGTAGTTGCTAAGCAACCGCCCGTGGACGGATACGAGAGAAAGAAGGAAGCCGCCGGAACTATGTATCTCTCGCGGAAGAATAACGCTGGTTTTTCTCAACGTTCGCGGAAGAATATTGGCGCACTGAACCGGGAACTACCTATTCTCAGTCCCGCAAAACAATACCTGAGCAGCGGAGTCCTGAAAGCCTATAAGAACCTCGCTTACGGAAGAAATACTCCGGGCCCAGCCTCACGTAAAGTAGAAGGTAGCGTCAATGGGGGCAAAGCTCGTTGCGAGGCAGATGGGATTAGCGATGTGCGGTCACGGAAGGAAGCCGAGAAAGAACCTCGTCGGCCACCGTTGTTTGAGCTAGCGCGCAGGCGCAGGAGGTCATCGGTCGTCCCGAGTGAGAGCACCGTTACCTTTGATCTGGCGCATGCTCCTTCAAACCTGATTTTGGCCGTCAGCGTTTTAGATCGTCGCAGCAGTTTTACGAGTACGCATGCGCCCAAAGCCTACAAGTATGAGCCTAGAGAGGCTTAGAGGGGGAGGCGCGGGTCTTGAAACCGCAATCTTTAGGGTGGATTGGAGACAGCCTTATTCCTAGTCATAGCGCCATCTAGTGGTGGAGATGGGTAATTAATGATAGCCTTGACTAGCATCTCCACTGATTTGGGCACTCTGGTTGAGGACGATGGTATTTGTAGTGCAACGAAGAACGTATCCGTTTTTCTGACTGTTACACACCATGGGGGAGTTCATGATTATGAGTAACTAAAGAAAGACCATGAAGAGAAGCTAAGTTTCGTAGTCAAAGAATATAAAACGTAGTCACACGTAGCCCCGAGGCTCTCAAATCTGGGCTGCACAAATCAGGACAGGGGAACAAAAAGACACATCACTTTTATGCCTTAAAGCTCCCAGCTGGATTTTTGCAACTTTGGTCCGTTAACCATATTCTGTTCCAAAGCATGCATGCTTCTTCCAAAGTGGGAGGGGAGCGGTCTGATTGACATCTGAAGGTATCTTGTAACTGTAAAATCCAATGCATTCTAACACTGTACGGATCTGTGTTTTTCAACCTTGGCACTTTTAAGTTGGATTTCAACTCCCATCATTCTGGCCCTGAAATTTTGGGAGTTGAAGTCTGCCTGTCTTAAAGTTGCCGAGACTGAGAAACCCTGCTGTGTAGAATAATTGCAGATGATTTTGGAAGGAGCCGGGTTCCAGATCTTGCAAATGAATGTTCAGTTTTGGAAGTGGCATGGATTGGTGGTTACTTATTGTTAGTTGCGAAGTTGTGTCCGACCCATTGCGACTCCATGGACAATGTTCCTCCAGGCCTTCCTGTCCTCTACCATCTTCTGGAGCCCATTTAAGCTCACGCCTCCTGCTTCAGTGACTCCATCCAGCCACCTCCTCTGTCGTCCCTTTCTTCTCTTGCCCTCAGTCTTTCCCAGCGTTAGGCTCTTCTCCAGTGAGTCCTTCCTTCTCATTAGGTGGCCAAAGTATTTGAGTTTCAACTTCAGGATCTGGCCTTCTAAAGAGCAGTCAGGGTTGATCTCTTCTATGACTGACCGGTTTGAACGCCTTGCAGTCAAGGGGACTCGCAGGAGTCTTCTCCAGCACCATAGTTCAAGGGCCTCAATTCTTTGTCACTCAGCCTTTCTTATGGTCCAACTTTCACAGCCATACATTGCAACTGGGAATGGTGCACATTACCTATGGTGGTGCACAAATACCGAGCAGGGCCACTGTCAGCCAGGAAAACTCCCTGGAGGACATGGGGGGGCGGTCACAGCTCAGCCTACCTTACAGGGCTATTAGGAAGAGAGTGGGAAGAATCCGTCTTCTCAGCTCTGAACTACGGGAGGAAAGGCGTAGCTTCCAAGCGCAATGCACAAAACGCCCTTCAACCAAGGAGCTTTATGTGTTTGCAAAGGGCAGGACCAGTTCCAGGAACAAAGCCAGCACGGTGACCTTGGGCCCTTTCTCTCAACCCTAGGAAGCAGGCAATAGCAAACCACTAACGAAATCTTGCAGAAAAACTGTCCTGGCAAAGGGCATCGATCCCACCCATTTAGTCTGTAAATTGCCCGAGCCCAACTCGCAGCAGCAGCAGGAGCAAAGGAAGGACTCGGGGAGGCTTGACTACAACTCCCGGCAGCCCTTTTGCGCTTCTGCGCACGCGCGGTCCACTTTGCCCCCGGGCTGCAAGCGCCGCCGTCGCCGCCGCCGCTGCCATTGCGCTTCGGGGAGGGGAGGTGGTCGCGGGAACGGCGCGGGGTCTCCACGGCGCCTGCGGGCTGGGCTGGGGTCCTCCGGCCGGGGCCCGCCGAGCACCATGCGGCAGGGTCCGCAGGGCTGGCCGGGAGTTGCTGCTGGGGCCGGAGCGAAATAGGAGGCAAGTTCGCAGCCCGCCGAGCCGCGCGGGTTTCCCCTGCAGAGGGAGGACCCCCCCCCCCAGGATCGGGGCAGGCTGGGCTGGGGAAAGGGGGGCCGTGGGAAGGAGGCCTCATCCTGCAAAGGGAATTGGGGTGTGGGGGGAGGGGTCTCAGAAGCCTCCCAGCTCTGCCCTCGCCCCCTCCCCGGGGACTTTAGGGTTACAATCCCCATCGTCCTGAGCCTGGGGATCCTGGGAATTGTGCATCTAGGGGGTGGGGGGGAAGGAAACTCGGAAAAGGGGGGGTCTGGATGTCTGGGGTCTCTCGAGCCGTTGGGGGCTGAAAAACCAAACCTTGCATGGATAAAAGGCGGGGGGGGGGCTGGAGGGTCCAACCCATGTTGCAAGCAGGCCCCCTCCCCACTTTTTATAGGTGGGAACACCCTCCCTGGGAAGGGGGCATGCAGAGAGGAGGGGCTGCAGTGTCAGGGATCCCCAGGCAATGTGGCCTTCATGGGTGGATACGGGTAGTCCTCGATCAATCGATCACAATTGAGGCCAGCATTTCTGTTGTTAAGTGAGGCATTTCTTAAGTGAGCTTTGCCCCCATTTGACGACCTTGCTTGCCGCCGTTGTTAAAGGGATTTGCAGTTGATAAGTTAGTCACCCCAATCTGTTGTGGGGGGGAACAGTGTGTGCGAACACCTAGCTTACGTGTTTCTAGCTGCCATCACAGGTGGTCCCCGACTTACGACCACAATTGAGCCCAAAATATATGTTGCTAGACCAGATAGTTGTTAACTGAATTTTGCTCCATTTTATGACCTTTCTTGTTACAGTTGTTAAGTGAGTCGCTGAAGTTGTTAAGTTAGTAACACGGTTGTTAAGTGAATCTGGCTTCCCCCCCCCCACTGACTTGGCTTGTCAGAAGGCCGCAAAAAGGGGATCATGTCACCCTGGGACACTACAAACCGTCATAAATATGAGTCGGTTGCCAAGCATCTAAATTTTGATTACGTGACTGCGGGGATGTGGCAATGGTCATAACTGTGAAAAAAGATCAATAATAATAATAATAAAATATGATGATGATGATGATGATAAGAAGAAGAAGAAGGAGAAGAAGAAGAAGTTGGAAGGGACCATGGAGGTCATCTAGTCCAACCCCCTGCTCAGGCAGGAAACATTCTTCAATGCCATTGCAATTTTGAACAGTCACTAAACGAAGTGTGGTGTGTCGAGGACTACCTGTCGTGTCTTCCATCATAACTCGTGACACTTGTAGGTCAAAGTACCCAGAGGACCAACCCTATTTTACACTTTGGACAGCAGTTGTTAAGCAAATGTAACAGTCATAAAGCAAATGTTAAGCAAATACATTCCTGTGGATTTTTTTTTTTTTGCCAGAAATCATCCCTAAAGCCCAGAAACCAGCAAAAAATATAAATTGTGGTCTCATCACCACAGAATGCTGTAACTGGTGGTAAAGGTGAAATAGTTGCCAAATACCAGAAATTCAGTCATGTGACTATGGGGGAGGCTCCATTGGAACTCCAGAACTGCATCTGTCTATTGAGGTCTATTGACCTCATCCAGGTCATGGTTGTCTCAGAGGTGCTTTTTCACGAGGCAACTGGACTTCCTTGTTTTTCTCTGAAGAGGTTTCGCTTCTCCTCCAAGAAGCTTCTTGAACTCTGAGTGGGAGGTGGAGAATGGAAGGATTTATATCCAAGAAGCTGAAGAAGCTTCTTGGAAGAGAAGCGAAACGTCTTCAAAGAAAAACAGGAAAGTCCAGTTGCCTCATGGAAAAGCACCTCCAGAACTGCATGGTAAGTATCTTGGGGGAAGAAAGGAATCCATCGTAACTTTGAACTGACGCTTAAGTGGCTGGTCATTAAGTGAGGACTACTATCCTCTGCTTCTGGAGCAGTGGTTCTCAACCTTTTTAACGCCGTGACCCCCAATCGGTCGTAAGTCAAGGACTACTCAGCCGGTCGTAAGTCGAGAACTACTCAACTGGTGCAGCACCATTTGCAGAATGGGACTTTTGGCAGGCTCAGCAGGGCAGAGACAGCCTGGACAATTCCTATTGGCTTTTGAAAGCCAATAGAATTAGACTCTATTCAAGAGAGTCTTTTCTATTGGCTTTCAAAAGCCAATAGAATAAAAGGGACAGCTAAGGAAAAGGGGAAAAAAATGGCGGACTGCGTTGTTTGGCGACCCCTGTGAAATGGTCGTTCGACCCCAAATGGGGTCCCGACCCACAGGTTGAGAACCACTGTTCTGGAGTCTCAGGAAAAAGATCACACTAGCTGTTTCTCCTCCTTTCAGGACACAATGGATTTGGTGATGGGGATGGACGTTGGCGCTGAAATCGAAGTAACCGAAGATGGGGACCTGGAAGAACTGCCTCTGCATTTGGTAGGGAATAGTGACCGTCCTCTTTTCAATTTGGAGTCTGGGGATAGTTGAAGGGTTGTTTGTAGAAGCCCTCTGACCAGATGGTTCATGGAGGCAATTACTCTGACATCAGAATTTGTGGGAAGGAGACATGCAATTACCTAGAATCCCTTTATGCAGTCCCCAGAGGACCACCTCCAGTTTAAGGACCTTCTTTTCGTTTGCTTGTTTGTTTTTTGGGTGGTTGGTGGAAATGATGCAAAAACAAAGGGTGCCTTAAGTCTTGCAAATGCTTAAGGTGCTAATTTTATCCCTTAAAACTCCTCCACCCTCACCCTGAACAAGTCCTGGTTCTCTTGTTGTGAAGCCTGGCTACAGAAAAACAGAATTAAATCTCGGAAAGCGATTTAGATTTAGATATTTAGATATTTTTTTTAAATGGATCAAGAGAGCTGGACAATCAAAGCATTATGACGGACAGAATTCTGTGTTTAATATGCCATTTTGGCTCAATTAAGCCAATTAACAATTGCCTGCGGGCTGTAACTACAAATCCGTGAAGTCGTTTGAGTACATCTTTCAGGAGAGACATCAGCCAGGGTTGGACAAGCACTGCTCTCTCTCTCTCTATACAGTACATATCTGTGTCTGATTACTATGACCAATAAATCTTGTTTGTAATGCTTTTTAAGAAATAGACTACAAGGGGACACTGTTAGCCAAGAAAGAAAATGAAAGCGGTTTTGAGTAATGGAAATACTAATGTCTAACATTGAATTAAATATTACATTTGCATCGGAGATTTACAAAATCTGAAAGGCTGAACTTGACCCCAATGAAAGAGATTTCAGTTTAGTGGTGAATTTTGCCAGCAGCCCATATATACCATTGTTTGATGCTAAAGGTCCTTTAACCTTTTCATCCATTGTGCCACTTTTAGGATATGGCAACATCCAAGTACCACCAGCAAGGTGTCAAAAACTTGATGACAAAAAAAAAAGAAAAAGAAAAAAGTAATAAAGTACAGGTAGTCCTCGCTTAGTGACTTTTTGAAGTTACAGTGGCACTGAAAAAAGTGCCCCAAAGCCACAGCCGAGCAAGACGCCTGCCCACCCAGTGGTGTTCTTCCTCCTGTCTGAGGTTTTCATTGTTGTGAGCATTTCTGTTGAGGATTGACAGCGGGGGGGGGTTGGTTTTTATTTCCCCCCGTCTGCTGGGTGGTTGCAGCAGGTTTTGGTCACTTCACATGACCCTGGGACACTGTAACCATCATAAATATGAATCAGTTGCCAAGCATCTGAATGTAAATCACAAGACCCTGGAGAGGCTGGAACATTCCAGCTGATTGGTGCTTCTTCAGGGTTCAGCAGAAGCACCAGGATCAGCGCCGAGTTCCAGCTGGAGTCTGGGACTGATCCTGGCGCTTCCACTGAGCCCTGACAGCCCTGAAGAAGCGCCAATCATCTGGAAAGCAGCACTCATCCTGGCGCTTCCGCTGAGCCCTGACAGCCCTGCAGCTCCAGCCATCTCTTGCTCAGGCTTGTGCGGTGCTGCCACCGGTTCAGCTCATTCCCTTTCCCCGCTACCACTTTTCTAAGATGGTCGCGTACCACCTGCCAGGTGCCAATGTACCACAGGTGATACCCGTGCCACTGGTTGAAAAGCCCTGCTATAAGCCCTTATCGGCAAGGTTTGTGGTCAGGAATAATAATATAATAATAACATAATCCAAATTTCTGGAGAGGGGTTTAATGCGTGCATCTGGATTAGAGAACGTAATTGTCTTGACCTTGGAGGCAGATGTGCCGCGCTCTGCCTGTCTCTGAGGCCGGGTGGACAAACTGCCGCCCTTAATTTTTGGCAGTCTTTGGAGCCCTCAGTAACTACAGCGATGGCTGAAAACTGAAGGCACCATTTTCTGGAGATGCAGAACAGAGGAAAGCTGTAGTGCAGGTGCTAAAATCGACATTTTTAAAACTACTCCTTAAATGCCAGCTCTGCCAATATAGGAGGCTGGACTAGGTGACCTGTCCGATCCATTTCAACTTACACACCCTATGGTTCTTTCCACCGCCAGGAAAACGTCCAGAATTGCCTCTGCTTGGAATCCGTGGACATCTCCAGCAGCGATGATGATGGGGAATCCCATCTGACCTTCTTCTTGCCCGTCAGACGGCCTCCACGCCCCGCCCAGCGCCGCTCGATTCACCGCCCCACCGCCGCTGCGAAATTGTCTGCTTCTCAAAAATGGATCCCTCCCTTGTTCCCTTGCCCTTTACGCCCCGGAGGCCCGTCCCCTGCCGGGATACCGGCCTTCGGGGCCTATCAGTGCCAGAAGTGCCTGCAGGTTTTCATGGAGGAATGGCACTACACCCAGCACCTGCAGGACCACGCTCAGGAGGAAGAGCAGCTGGCCCAGCTGCACGCAGCCCAGCACCCCGCCCGTCCCCCGTCCCCACCCCGCAAACTCCGCTGCCTCGAGTGCGGCAAACGGTTCCTGCAGCCGGAGCAATTTGCACGGCACACCAAGTGGCACCTGAAGCTGGTGCGCCTGGGCATTAAAGTCCATCACAGGAAGGCGAGTTGGCGGTCTTCCCAAGTGTCGTATGTTTACCAGCCTCTCGGCGGCACGAGGAATCCTCTGGAAGGAAACGATGGGGCTGACCTCCCGGTCGTGCAGGAGATTCTGAGCCAGCCAGCGGGCCTGCAGGTTCCCAAGCCTCCGAGGACGGGCAGGCGCAAAGCCGTCAAGCACCAGAAGAGGAAGAGTGCTGAGAGGTGGCAGCCGCAGGAGCTGTTCAGCTCCACTCAGGCCGGGAACTCCATGGCCGTCCTCGATGGGGCCACCGGGGTCCACCTTCTGCAGCCTTGGCAGAAGCAGGAGGGAGTCCTGGAAGGCCAGGTGGCGGGGGGTCTCTTCCAACCGACGGTCATGAGTGCCGAAAACCAGATTATCATTCTGGACGGCGACGAGGCGGAGGCTGTGCCTGTGGCTCCCGAGCGGCATTACACCGAGCTGCAGACCACCGTCTTTGACAGCCAGGGGACCACGGACGCCATGCAGCCGGTGTTCCTAAGAACCGAGGAGCCGGCGGTCGTCCTGGATCCTCCCGCTGGCACGAGTCCTCTGCAGGCTGGTGGAGTCAAGGACCAGGCAGCCGTCGTCCCCGGGTGGGGCGGCCAGAACCCGTGTACCGTGTACAGGACGGTGCTTCTCCAGGCGGAGGATCAGGCAGCTGTGGTGGACGGCCAAACGGAGCCCGGTCCTTTCCAGCAAGTGATCATTAAGACTTCTGAGGTCTCCCCCACCTTCTACCTGGATCCTCAGATTTCTTCGCTGGACCCAACCGCCTTCCATTTGGTCCCCGAGCCTCAGTACGTCACTTTCCCTTACGGGAATTCCTTGCCTCTGGACCACAGCGAGGCCACCGAGGAAGGAGAAAAGGCTTGGGAGTCTCAGGCGGCCAGCTTCTGTTTACCCAGTTTGTACCAGGCAAACAAGCAGCAGCCCTCTCCCGTGGCAACCGCCAGTCCCAAAAGCCCCGTGGTGGTGCGGCTGCTGCCGTGCCCTGAAGGGGACCATCCCGAGGTCTTGGATCTGGAGTACGACACCGGAGGTGGCATCCCGGTGGCCTCGGAGCCCTGGGATGTCAACTTGCAGGCAGAGCAAGAGACCCCCAGTCTCAAGGCGTCGTCAGACGATGCCTTCATTGTGGTGGAGATGGAGAGCGAGACGGGCCAGCAAGGCATGGTGGTGAGCGAGCACCACCACCGCCCCCGGCCACGGACCTTCCGGCGAGGCAGAAAGCTGCCCCCTCGCAACAGCAGCATCTGGCGCTTTAAGTGCCCGGACTGCGGGGTCTGCTACAGCCAGCTCTCCCAGCTGCGCTCGCACCAAAAGGGGCGGAAACGCCGGGGGCGGCGCTTCCTGTGCGAATGCGGCTCTTCCTTCCGGGGCTTGCTCCACCTGCTGCGCCACCAGCTCCAGCACCTGGAGGAAGCCCTCTTTATTTGCTCCACCTGCGGGAAGTCGCTCCAAGGACACGCCGGCTTGCAAAGGCACAACACCTGCAATCCCGGCCTGGCTCATTTCAGCTGCCCTTGTGGCGAACACTTCCAACGCTTGTCCCGTTACCTCTGGCATCACGTCAGAAGCCAGCGGCCCGGCTTGCGAGTGTACACGCTGGCTGGGTTCCTCTCCTCCCCCTAAGGTGGGTGGGCAGGTGTGGCCTGCTGAAGGGAGGGGGAGGGTTCAGTGGAGGAGATTGGTTGGCTGATGGTTGCTGTCTGATGTTTCTTGAGTTTCCCGCAATGTAATTATAAAGATGGTCATTAAAGAGCTGAAATCCTGCGCCCCTAATGTGTTGCTTACCTATGGGGAGGGGGGGGGCTCTGGGTGGGAAGTATCCTCCAGCCATTTAGCAGGGAAGAAATTGCATTGGTTGGAGGTGGTGGCATTCTTCCTTGGGGGTGCAATATTTACCAGACCAATTGATGGAAAATGAGCCAGCCGTGTGCTGCAGCTGCCAAAAAAGCCAACACAGTGCTAGGCTGCATTAACAGAGGGATAGAATCAAGATCAGGTGAAGGGTTAATACCACTTTACAATGCCTTAGTAAGGCCACACTTGGAATACTGCATCCAGTTTTGGTCACTACAATGTAAAAAAGATGTTGAGACTGTAGAAAGAGAAGAGTAGCAAAGATGATCAGGGGACTGGAGGCTAAAACATAAAGAACGATTGCTGGAATTGGGTATGTCTAGTTTAATGAAGAGAAGGACGAGGGGGGACATGATAGCAGTGTTTCAATATCTCAGGGGCTGCCCCAAAGAAGAGGGAGTCAAGCTATTCTCCAAAGCCCCTGAAGGCAGGACAAGAAGCAACGGATATAAACTAATCAAGGAGAGAAGCAACCTAGAACTAAGGAGAAACTTCCTGACAGTTAAAACAATTAACCAGTGGAACAACCTGCCTCCAGAAGCGGTGAATGCTCCAACACGAAGTTTTTAAGAAGAGACTGGACGGCCATTTGTCTGAAATGGTATAGGGTTTCCTTCCTGAGCAGGAAGTTGGACTAGATGACCTGTAAGATCCCTTCCAACTTTATTATTATTGTTATTATGGATCATCGTACAGTCAGCCAAATGTTCAGACTGGATTTAGCATTTTGTCTACTTATCGAGTCCTTACCAAGGACTTGGGATAGGTAGATGTGGATGTTTGATGTTATTACAGATATGTCGCAGGATGTAGGCAGTTCCTAGTAAGGCCGTCTTTCCAAGTATTATTATTGTTATTATTATTATAGTTGTATAGAGGGAATTCTCGCCTAACAACTGAGCACCCTGCTGCTAAGTTTAACATCAGGTGATTGCAACAGACTTTAGGATCTCGGTTCCATCACGGTTGTTAAGCGAATCGCCTGCGGTCAGTAAGCAAGACATCCCCTGACCGCAGCTTGCGATTTTACTGCAGACGTCTGCATTGGCTGTGTTGGAAGCTGGCTGCGAAGCGTTCGCATGGCGATCACGGGACCCTGCAGCGGTTGCAAGCATGAGAACCAGTCATAAAGTTGCTTTTTTCAGCGATGTAATCTCGTTTGCTAAACGGGGTGGTCATTAAGCAAGGACCACCTGTATGTTTTTTATGCAAGTGTTTATAAAAACAATTACAAATTCTTTGGGAAGGACATTTTTTCTTATGATAGAAAACAGGGACTGTCTTGGCGACCCGGCATTCTTCCTCCAGCAGGTCGTGGATGAGAGAAAAGATGGAAAGTCTGATCTGCATAGCTTGCAGCCTTCCCTTCTTCCCTCCGTCTTTCCCCCAACAACTAAGCTAATCTCTTCCACAACCTCTCTTTTCTTTTCAATGTTTCTCTTCTATCTCTTTCCTCCGGATTCCGCCCCTCCCTGGATGAAATTAAGCCAAGGGCCACAGATCACTCAACGCCAATTAAAGATGACAGTTTACAAAATGGCCTGTGTCACCCCCTCTTCTGCAAACAGGCTGTCCGGTTTTTGTCTATATTAGAGGTCTCCAATCTTTTGGGCACCAGGGACGGGTTCTGTGGAGAGGTTTTTCCACCGACTGGAAAGAGAGTGGTTTTGTGTGATGCCTGCATCCCACGGATGGGGCTTTTGCTTGTTTGTGTGGACTGGTTGCTGGCATGCTGTGGCCCAGTGTCGGTCCACAGACCAGGAGTTGGGGACCCCTCTATGTCTTTTTAGAGTACTCCACCTTCAGAGTCAACGTCCCGACGGATTAATCAAAGCTTCATCTGACTGAGTGATCTCTAGATAGGCACAGGCTGCAAATTCCAGCTGGCATATTGCAATTGGCACATGTGGAGAACACTACAGGGGAGAAGAGTGGCTTAGCAGATAATTAGGTTGGAAGTCACGGAGGCCTTTTTAATCAAGGACACTACTGATGTTCTTGTTCATCTCACAAATTGCGGGCAGAGTCACAACAGGGGCAGTTGAGACAAAATGGCGTTCGAACAATATCTTGAATGAGAAGCTAATCCAACAGGCTACGTTTGCACGGCACTGCTGTTCATTTGCAACAGAGCCGTCCAAGGTGAAAAACTAATCAAGTTTGGCGTGTTGCAGAAATGCACTTATGTACCACCACCACCACCCCCCCAAAAAATGAAAGCTCTTACTCTCAATCGGGGGTTTTAAGTGAAGTTCAGCATGGAAACTTAAGGAATTGTTTGCTTGCAAAGAGTGGGCCCTAACATTTTGCTGAATATAGTTCTTGGCCAGGTTGGATCATTGCTGGGGGTTTAATATACACACCAGGTAGTCCTCACTTAATAACCAGCCACTTCACAGCCATTGGGTGTTACAAGGAACATCCTCCCCCCCCCAAAAAAAAAACTCCTTAAGACCCAGTTCCAGAATTCTAGCAGTGGCACACAGACACGCCCCCTAGTGGTCACATAGATGCATTTCGGGCTCTTGGCAGCTGTCTCGCCTTTACCGCGGGTTGCAGCATTCTGGGGTCACATGACATGATTTAGCAATAGCACTTAGACTTATATACCGCTTCACAGTGCTTTACAGCCCTCTAAGCAGTTTACAGAGTCAGCATATTTGCCCCCAACAACCTGGATCCTCATTTTACCAACCTCAGTAGGCTGGAAGGCTGAGTCCAATCTTGAGCCTGTGAGAATCGAACTGCTGGCAGGCTGGCAGAATTAGCCTGCAATACTGCTCTCTAACCATTGCACCATCATGGCTCTTTACATCAGTTTTTGCTGGAATCTAGTCTTTGGCTGGTTTCCAGCAAACAATGCCCATAAGAATGCATTGACTTGCTTAACGACTATAGATTTGCTTAGCAACCACCACAAAAAAAATGGGTGTCTTGATTTATGACTATCATGACTTAATTACAGAAATTCCAGGCTGCATTGCGAAGGACATAAATTGAGGACCAGTAAACCAACCCAAACGCCATTGTCAAGAACAAACCTCTGCATATGAGCATCTTTGGGTAGGTAGCTGGCAATTATGTTAATGTTTGACAGGGAAACCCCTGACCATGTTTTGCCGTTCAATCTAAGGCCAACTCCCGTCTTCCTGTTGGAGATGCTTTAATTTAGATTTTTGCACCAAGTGCACGATTGGAACTCAAAGCCCCTCTGATCAAGTCGTACGATTCTAAGTAGCCTTGAGAATTTCACACAGATATACCAAATATAAAAAATGAAACCCCTCTCCTTTTGACTCGCAAGCGTCCTGGCTTGTAGGCAGTTTGTCACTCCTGTTCAGTCACCAAATCTCTGTGGCAAGCTGTCAAAACTAAACCGAACGGCGTCTTCCACCCTGGAGAAGGTACTGGGCAGTAGGTTACCAACTGCTTCCTGCAGATCTGATTCCTGCAACGTCTGGAAAAAGTTTCTGCCCAAGAACAAAAGGCAAAGCCTTCACATTCCACAGCGCTGAGCTTTTTCTTCCGTTCAAGTACTTCTCCGGCCGTTTCCCTATCCCACAAGTACTTTCCACCCTGTTCCCCTCACAGTTCAGTTTTTTTCTTCACTAAAGAGAGGAGACCAGGATGTGGTTTCCATCCAGAAGACCCTCTGCATATGTCTTTGCAGATACGTTCACCCGAACAATTGTTTCCTCAACTGTAAACTACAGTTTTTAAGTCCACTAATGCTAAAGGTTTATAAGGCTTGCAGTGACTTGAAAGTACCACGAGATGGAGGTGTAGTAACAGTTTCTTTAGCCTATGTGGAATCCATTAAAAAAAAGGCAAATGGCTTTCTAAAAGTCCATTTCTTGAGCCAAGGATGGGTAAATGAGATTAAAATCCTCTCAATGGCCAACCTGAGAAGGGGGAAAAATCAAAACAGGGATGGCATGTTAGTTCTGGGCTTGGTCAGCTCCAATAAATCTCAAACTAGATGCCCATTTTTATCTACCTGCACCCCTCCTACCAGACTGAACCCAGGTATTGTTTTTTTTTAAATCAAATCCTTATTTTTTATTTCTTTATATTCCACTTTTATTAATAACTCAAGTCAATGAACATTCCTAGCACTCCTTCCTATTTCCCCACCATACAGCAATCTTGTGAGGCGGGTTAGGCTGGGAGAAAGTGACTGGCCCAAAGTCACCCAGTCAATTTTCATGCCTAAAGCGGGATTAGAACTCACAGTCTCCTGGTGATTGGCCCAAAGTCACCCAGCCACTTTTTATGCCTAAGGCAGGACTAGAACTCACAGTCTCCTGGTGATTGGCCCAAAGTCACCCAGCCAGCTTTCATGCTTAAGGTGGGACTAGAACTCACAGTCTCCTGGTGATTGGCCCAAAGTCACCCAGCCACTTTTTATGCCTAAGGCGGGACTAGAACTCACAGTCTCCTGGCGATAGGCCCAAAGTCACCCAGCCAGCTTTCACGCTTAAGGTGGGACTAGAACTCACAGTCTCCTGGTGATTGGCCCAAAGTCACCCAGCCACTTTTTACGCCTAAAGCAGGACTAAAACTCACTTAAGGCGGGACTAGAACTCATGGTCTCCTGGTGATTGGCCCAAACTTACCCAGTGAGCTTTCATGCCTAAAGTGGGATTAGAACTCAGAGCCCCCTGGTTTCTAGCCTGGTGCCTTAATTACTAGATCAATCAGATCAGCATAGGAAGAGCGGGACAGAGCAGGTATGCTAAAATGTTCTACATTTCAGATGCACGGATTTGGCCTTCAGAGTAAATTACCCCCAAAAATCCGCCTCCGTTATTTTTGGATTTCTGAGGGCGGAACCAACAGAAGGCTATTCTAGGTTAAGTTAGAACTACAGTCCCTTCTAAAGTACAGCATCGTGTCAGACATCTTAGGAA